GTGTCACCTATGCCCATGCTCAAGCCCATAAACAAGTCTTTTTGTTGGTAAAGGGGTACTTCTTCACCTTTCGGTGTTCTTGTCAGACACGGGTGATGGCTTCACAATCATTTGAACTTTGGCAGCATTTGTATAAAGCAGCCCTCCAAATTTCACCAGGGACCTTTTGTGATTCCCTTGCTGTTGACCATTAGCTGCTTCGCCATGCCTCAGAAAGCAAAGGCCAGCAGTATGGTGGTCATGGAGCAGGAGGCTGATACCTCCAACACACATGGACCCAACTGGACCCAGGAAGAGCTGCAAATCTTAACTGACATTTGGCCAGAGCAAAGCATCATAGGCAGACTGGAAAATAGGAGTAATAAGCTGGTTTGTGTCTCCATTGCAAAACAATGCAGGTGCAAGGGCACAATTGTGACTGGATGCAGTTCCAGTGCAAGATCAAGGCCCTGAGATCTGTGTTTTACCATGCCAAAGATGCGAACTCTCGCTTTGGGACAGGGCAGACAATTACTCCTCTCTATGACCAGCTGTCCATCATTCTCTCCAAGGATGCAGGCAACACTCTAGGTATCCAGTGTTTCGGCACCAGGCTTATGGAGGAGGCAGAGGAGGATAACATGCTGACAGAGGCAGCTCCTCCTGACAGTGAAACTGTGAGCATGTTGGAGCAGTAAGGAGACTGCTCCATGCTCCCGGTGGATGAAGAAGAGCAATTCACCTTGATGCCAGTGCCCCCTCCCCCCACCCCAACTCCAGGGAGTAGCACAGATGAGTTGGAGGAGGAGGAGGAATGGAGAGAAACTGATGCGGCCAATGTGGTTTCTCTTCCCAGAACCCAGTCATTTGAACCCAGTCATCCCAGAACCCAGTCATCATTTTGTGCTGCTGAAACCCAAGAAGATGCATGACCAGTGACTTGTAAGTATCCTGTAACATGCCTCTTGCCACTGCCAGGCACTGCACTGATTGGGTTTGTGCTGGCTGTGCTTTTGGGTCTGGTGGGGGATTTATATTCATGTGTTGCTGGAGGCAGGTTGGCATTCTCTTTCAGGGGTGGGGGATGAGGGGCATACACCATTGTTTTGGGCAGTACAAATGGCAGGTTCTCTTTCTGTGCCTGCATGCATTTTCTCCACTGCAGGGTGGTTGGGGGAGGGGGGGGGTATAGTTAGTGGTGTGTAGTTTCCTCCTCTTGGGGGAAGAAAAAGTTTTGCTCATTTGTTTAACAGCTACCATGCCTGATGGCAGCCAGGGATGTGCCTCCCAACCTCAGACACCAGCTCGCACAACAACAGAGTGCTGCAGTGATATGCGCCGGAGGCAGCGATAGTCCCGAGAAACCTTGATGGAAGCTTTGGTGGAGTCAGCCCAAGCCAAACTGTCATGCAACAAGTCCTGGTGAAATGAACGCTGCATGTTCATGCAGTCAGAGGATGCCCTCTTGCAGCGAATGGAAGACAAGGTGTTGAAGTTGGTAGACATGGCCACAAAGTCATATGATTTGATGTTTGAAATGGTGGAATCCGTCAAAGCAGATATCAGCCGAATTTCAGCTTTAAAAAGCGGGTACAGAATGGCAAAAATAGCTCCCCTCAGCTTGCCTCTGTCCAGGAGGTAGCCAGTACAGCTGAGCCTGCTCCCTGAAATGCACGGGAGTCAAGGGAGGGTCATAACACTGTCACCAGGGCCAGGCGGCCACCACTGTCATTCAGGGAGCCAGGGCCAGTTCAGGGTGATGGTGGGGTGAAGGCAAGGAAGACTGAGTAACCGAATGCTGACAATATTGTGTTCATTACAATAAAAAATCATGTTATCTATCCTGGCTTTCTGCATCTGGCTACATATCAAATGAGTGCACGCACTCTTTTGGGCCCTGCCAAGGAGGGCAGGGGGAGGGTGACAAACAGCCACTCTGCCAAGTCACAGTCAGTTTGCAAAAGGGAAGCATTCTAACAGTCCCATAAAGTGTAAGTGGTGTCTCCCCCCTCCCTGACAAGCCGTGCATGAACACTTGCATTGTGCATAACTAGAGACTGTTTCAGATTCTGCAAAGCAGAATCCCAGATCCTTCCTTGTCTCACCCTGACAATGGGGAGCAGATCATAGAATCTGAAAATTTGGTTTGGAAGGGACCTCAGGAGGTTACATATCTAGTCCAAGCCCCTGCTCAAAGCAGGACCAACCCCAACTACATCATCCCATTCAAGGCTTTGTGTAGCTGGGTTTTAAAAACCTCCATGGATGGAGATTTCACCTCTGCTCTAGGTAACCTATTCCAGTGTTTCACCACTCTCCTTGTGAGAGAGTTTTTCCTAATATCCAACCTAAACCTCCCTTGCTGCAACTGAAGCCCATTTCTCCTTCTTATGTCATCTCCAGCTCCATCCTCTTTGCAACACCCCCTCAGGGAGTTGAAGGCTGCTATTAAATCCTCCCTCAGTCTTCTCTTCTGCAGACACAATCAGGCCATTTCCCTCTCCCTCTCCTCAAAAGTCATGTCCCCCAGGCCTCCAAACCATTTTTGTTGCCGTCTGCTAGACTCTCTCCAACTTGTGCACATCCTTTCCGTAGTGGGCAGCCCAAAACTGGACACAGGTGTGGTGTCTCCCCCCTCCCTGACAGCCATGCATGTATACTTGCATTGTGCATAACCAGAGACTGTCACATTTTTGCAAAATCAGATTTCTGTCAGACTTCGGCAAAAACCCTGAAAACCTTACAAACCTTGCCTGCCTGGGGTCCCATACAGTGTGTGTGATGTGTCACCCATCACAAGCCATGCTTCCACACAAGCACTCTGCCCTGGGGGGACAGCAGTGTAAATCCATGGTTCGAGATGACTGCAGCCTGATGAAGTGGAGTGCAGTGAAGCTTAGAGTGCCACAGCTTTGAGATGTGCAACTTGAAGGAGGACAGCACAATGAGCTCCAAAGTCACCTTTATGCATTGGTAAGGGACACCTGTGACCTGCCATTTGTGTGACCGATAAGCACTTTCGGGGGCCCCATGGAGCCAGGCAGAGTGGTAGGGCTGTCCCTACCTAAGTTGTTTCGGGTGGAATTTTTTGGTTCAACTTTCTTGTAAATGGGGCTTGTGGATAGTCATGAGGGAAGGTGCATTGTATGTTGGTTTTCAAATCAAATTCTATCCTCCCTCCCTCTGATTTTTAATAGATCCCAGTCCCCCAGCACCACTAGCCGCCGGCTGATCCCAGTGGGTGTGACAAAAGGCAGAAGAGAAAAGGAGAGGAAGAGCGTGATGACACTTCCTTGACAATTCTCTCTGCTCAGCAACTAAATTATGTTATATACTATAGTATGCATTATATTATTAAAACTATTTTATATATTACAGTATGCATTATACTTTTAAAACTATTCCATGTAGTATAGTATGCATTATACTTTTACTTGACTTTTATAATACAGATAGACTTACGTATGGAATTATATCATATAGACTTATAATGAGTTAACAGCAATAATAATAAATGTTAATGGTATTATTAATATGTGTAGTAATAGGTCTGAAAACGGGTAAATCTGCCTTATCATCCCTCCCTATTCCTGAATATTCCTGTCTGCCTGTTTCCTCAAGGGTTAGTCTTTTTTCTTGCAAAAAATGCTGACAGCATCCTCATGCTCCCCAGCATCACTGTACTTTGGGATGGGAGGAGGAAGAGGAGGGGGGGCGTTATAACAAGCATTTGACCTCCAATAACAGCCCAGGCTACAACTCTTTCCAGTAATGCCTTGACTCCATAAACACCCCCAAGCAAAGCATCCCCAGGCTGGCTGAGGAGGGTGCGTTCCTACACTCAGACAGCCCACCCCACCCAGCCCCAATTGGCCATGCACATCAATCTGCCTATGAAATAAAACATGCTACACATATAGTAATTAGTAGTAATTATTGAGTAAAAAGTCAAACAATAGAATAATAGAAGAATTCTAATTGCAGCCTGGAGTCCCTCCCTCCCTCCCTGCCTGTTGCCCCAGTGCCAAAATATGACTCTGCTTCTGGCGGGGGAAAATTCCCTCCCTCCATCCCTAGCTGGGACAGGGGTCTGGGGTCTGTTGTCACCCGTCATTAACACACACACGCACGTCAACTGAGGTCATATTACTTTTCTTTTCTTGTAGGTTTTGTAGATAAGTCACTAGTTACATGAAATACAGGTTTGGTATTGGGGTAAAAGATGATTTTTGTATTGAACATGGAGAATTCTCAAGAGATTAAAGATTCTTAACACACACACACACACACACACACACACACACACACACTGCTTCACCACTTGACTACCAATGACAGTCATTTGACAGCCAGGCCTCACAATAGGTCTTATGCATTGAGCCCCTCACTCTGGGCTCACCAGGGCCCCAGACTCCAGCCCCACCTCACACACACACATCCCATCCTCCCCCTTCCTGGTTACTGGCCATGTCTCATCAAATGATGGCGGGTACAAAATTTCCTCCCTAGGTCCCTGGTTCCCCCTGGGATAGGGCCTCTACACACACACACACACACACACACACACACACACACACATCCTGCTTCAAACTTGACTACCATTGTGCAGGGAGGCTTTCTTCAGAAGCTTACACATTGTCACACATTCCCTCCCTCTGCCCCTTATACATTGTAACCTTTGAGACATACCACAAAAACCACAAAACCATGAGAAATTTAAACACTTATAGAGGTCTATATTCCTGTCATTGCAGATGTCTACTTCCCAACAATGCCACTATCTCTGAACTCTCTGGGCCCTGGTCCTGCTAGCAGGCCAGCAAGATTTGCTGGGTTTCTCCCTTTGCCACCTTCTCTTCTGGACCCTCCTACTCTTCAGATAGCCCTGGCTTAGCCATCTTCATTCTGGGCTGCAGGCCCCTGATCCCCCTTTGTCTCTGGTGGTGGTTCTTCCTGACTGTGGCCTCTCCTAGACCCTGGCCCTGCCTTGGGCAAGTTGAGCACTCTGGGCCCTCTCTGGCTCCAGCAGTCTCCTGCTGTGGCTGATGCCAGCCTTCAGCCCCTCTCTGGGCCCTGGCCCTGTGAGATTCTGGGCTCCCCAGGCCTCACAATAGGTCTTATGCACTGAGCCCCTCACTCTGGGATCACTGGGGCCACTTGACTACCAATGATAGTCAGTGACTTTTGCCTCTGGGCTGGGGCCAAAATATCACCTATCTTCTGTGAGGCAAAATACCCTCCCTTCATCCCTATCTGGGACAGGGGTCTGGGGCCTATTGTCACCCAGCATTAACACACACGCACACACCTCAACTACTGAGGTCATATTACTCTTCTTTTCTTGTAGGTTTTGTAGATAAGTCACTGGTTACATCAAATACAGTCTTGATACCTGTTGTGCCATTGCAATCATTATTATTATTCACTGCTTGACTACCAATGGCATTGTTTATTAAAACAAAAATGTCTATTCTGTTTCAGCTGTATAGTGATTTCCCAAACAAAATAGACAGCATTTCAATTTATTGTGAAAAAATAAATAGTAAATGCTGATTTGTACTTGCTCCTGCTTCATTGATTGATTGGGGCGGGGACAGTGTTTTGACTGATTGATTGATTGATTGATTGATTGACTGATTGGGAGGGTGTTTTGGAGGTGGATGATGGAAAAACCAAAAGCCAACCATTACACAGAAGAGTTGCCCTCATTTAAGCTCCCTGCATACATGCCTGGCCAAGTATTACCCCATGCTGCTTCTTGTCTGTCAGGTTCTAGGGTGGATGGAAGGCGGTGGGTGGGGGATGACAGTATGACTATTGCTTACAGCAAGGTGCTCCTGGATTTGGGATTGTGGGTAAAGAAAGCTTTGCAGGACCTCCCATGTTTCCAGTAATGCCATGACTCCATAAATCCCCCATCTTTTCATAAACAATAGGATTGTTAAAAGTGAATGATTTGTGTGACCTCCTGTCTTCTGTGAAACTTGCATACAAGCAAAGGATCCCCACGCTGAGAAGGGTGGGCATGGCCAGCACTTCTCCCAACCAACCCCACCCACCCCTGAAATGCAATCTGTGAAAGAAAAAACACCTGACACAATTTCAACTTTGGAACTTGTATATACTTTGGTGTGGGGGAAGTGGCTTCTTTACTATCAATATTAAAAATGTTCAATCTCTGATGTCCATAGTGTTCTGCAGGGAGGGGAAGAAAAAAGAATGGGGTTTTTAACCAAAAAAGTCGAAACACGGGCTCTCACCTGCAGAACCCCTCCCCCCCCAGGTCATTGGGACGTTTATTACCTATATATCACCAGGGATGCTTCATAGTCTGGGGGGACAGTCTAGCAGGCAACGTCCACCTTGACTAATCATCGTGGTTCTGGAATGGGAATGGGAATGATGAGAAATAGGAAGGTTGGAAATATTGAAGGGTTAAGCAGTAGGTAGGAAGGTACCAAACTCCAGAAAGTTGGAAAATTACCATTCTGCTGATGCTGCTGTGCTGGGCAGTGCTAAACACCATGGTGGTGAGTGAAGCGGGAGTGTGTTCTGGAATGAGAATGGGAATTATCAGAAATAGGAAGGTTTGAAATATTGAAGGGTTAAGGAAGGGCTATCTACCACACTCTGTAAAGTTACAAAATTACCATGCTGGAGGTGTCACTGTACTCCGCACTGATCGTCATGGTAGGCGCAGTGGCAGCGGGTGGAGGGCGCCAGTGCTGGATGGAACACAAGCACGTGTCGGTGGTAGGACCAAAACAAATGAAGAAATAAGTTGCTCCTGGCTGGCTGGTGTGGAAGCAGGGGGAGAGAGGGAGGTAGGAATGGATGGGCAGGCAGAAAAAATGCTGTTTGACCCGCCTCTCCCCTCCCCTCCCCTCCTCAGGCTTACCAGCATGGCTCCACATTGGGATGGTGGGAAAAACAAGCATTCAACCTCCAATAAGAGCCCACCCTGCAACTCTTTCCAGTAATGCCATGACTCCAAAAATGGCCCTAACCAAGCAAAGCAACCCCACGCTGGCTGAGGAGGGCGCAGTCATCAGCTCTGCTAACCCAGCCCGGATTAGCCATGTCAATCTGCCTATGAATTAAAACTCACCACAAATATATATAGACTACAAAATAAAAAAAACCTTTTATTAACAAAAAAAAGGGGTACATTTCTTTTCATCTCCAAAAATAAAATAAAAAGACATAACTAACTAATACTTTAATTAATTAAATTAAATCATAAGAAATAACTAAACAATAACTGAATTAAAGTAAGTTAACTAAAGCAATAACTAAATTAAGGGAAAATTATAAATAAATAATAATATACAGGGTTAATAAAATCAAAAGTATTAGTATCAAGAAAAAAAGAATTAATATTAAGGCAATCAGGACTCATAGTAGAAATGATATCTTTTATAAAACCAATAAGATTTTTGCAATGAAATTTGCTTTAATTGTAAGCTTTCAAGCACAAACACCCTTCATCAGGCATTGGAGAAAAGATTGTAAAAGTTCTCCTGGGTAGAAATGAAAGTTCATATTTCATAGGAATTAGTATTAGAGAATTAGTATTAAAATATTAAAACAATGTATAACTATCTCTAACTATAAGTATCTATAATTGTCTATATTAAAACTATCTCTATCTATCTATCTATCTATCTATATTTAAAAACTGCACACTATTTATCTATTATCTACCTACCTACCTATTTTGTTCTTCTTTTTTGCTCTCTTCTTTCTTTGTTCTTCTTTCTTTTCTTCATTGGTTGGAGGGCTTGCTTGAAAAAAGCATGGTCAGAAGTGCAGTGGGAGGGAGGAAGGGCAGAGTTAAGGAAAACACATAAAATACAATCACAGTGCCACCTCCTGGCTAAAGAAAAAAAGCACAGCACCACCTGGTGGCAAAAGAAAGCAATTACAAGTCTTTGAGACACTTTGATACGCTCTGTGTATGCATGACACAATCGGGCATGTTAAACCGGGGCACCGGGAAATAAAATATGTCTGAGCGGGGTTAGTCAAAAGCGCTGAAAAGACTTTTAAAGTGGCGGGAAATCCCGATTGTGCAAACACAAACCCAGTTGCGGCGGCCAAAATGATAAAACACGTGTCATCTACAAGCGCCCTAAGGCACGGACTTCACCAGTTTCTCCTGGCTCTGCAGTGTACTCGCTGAGTTGTTAATTTCTGAGAAGTGCCTTACTCTATATTATATGCTGTCAGGGAGAATGGCAAAATCAGACTGTGTAAGAGCTAGTCTCTGGTTCATCATGAGAATTAAGCAGATGAATAAGCCTGTTTGAAATTCTGAACCAGAACAATCATATATGTTCATAGCAGTTACAGTTTTGTATGGAAACACTAAACATTGACTAGCAAGACAACTGTAGAAAAAAGAAAAACCAGAAAACCCCATCGGAACATATAAGATTACAGATAATAACAAAGATCCCTCTTCCTTTTACATACTTTTCAAGAACATTATTTACTGAGCACCATAGGTGCCTGAGTGTTGTTGGTAACAGATGCCATGCTTCTGCTTCAAGAGAAACAGCAGTAGCAATAGAAGTAATTTGCATTATGCTGAAGGTCAAAATTGTTTAAAATAAAGAGTCTATGACTTACTTCAAGTGCATGGATTTGAAATTCATGGGGCTCCACTGATGTGCTCTTGACTCTCCACACGCTACAAGTTGTGGGTTCAGGGCCTCAGCTAGACAGAAACGTACAAGCCAATCACACACTAGGCGGCCAATGGCCTGATCAAATTTACTTGACTTGAATGGGCCCTTCCAGTGACTACAGTAGGCCTTAGATGAGGCTCCACGAGAGGTTCAAAACTTCAAGTTATACTAGCATTATCTTTCTGCCTATAATGTTAAAAATGAAGCATTTCTAAGTGAATTGTCAAAAAGTGTGTAACTTCTTTCCAAATATATTGATAAGACCTAGACCAATACATGTGGAGAAGCATCCAACTGAAAAACAGCAAAGTTATAGTCTATTTTAATGCCAGATCATTGTTTAAAGCACTTTCTAACTGCAGCTTAACTAATATGCTGTGTTACCTCAAGTTACCATCTGCTGTCTTCTGTGTTAAATAATATTTTCATAACCCATTTTCCCTTTTATTACTTTCCCACATTGTCTAAATATTCTGATTGCAGGCTCCAACATTAATCCAGCCCCTGTAAAAACTATCTTTAAAAGTTCAGTCTCATTAATTTTGGGCCTGTGCCATCATCTTTTACAACCAGTAGCTATCACATCTCATTCCTCTTACTGTGTGTTAGATCCTTGTATTTGGAAAATGCACATTCTAATTTCTTATTTTGCTGTGTGCTATATCAAAATTACTCCCATCCCTGTTGGGACTATTTAACAAATTTAGCATAGTCACATTAGGGTTCTTTTCTAGTTTATCATGAAAATGACCCATACTCAGATTCCTAGTTCTGAGACGCATGAAAACATATTTAAGCAGTTTGACACAGCACCTATTAAAAATCTGGACAGGCATACCAAATTCATTAAAAAAGCTAATAATGTATTCAAGTGCAGACAACTGATAATCAGTATGACCTAGATTCTGGTTTTGGACTAAGCTCTCACATAATGGAGTAGCATTTCCCTAGCAGCCCTGTACACACTACTGAGACTGACTTTTGCAGCCAGATTCTATTCCACTTATTAGGCATCTAAGTAGACTTAGGTACTTGCATGTGATTCTGTTCTACCTTGTTCACATCCCTGAAAATCTATTTAATGCTTCTGCTTTTGTAGCACAGCATCATCTTACCCTTAAAAGTGAGTCAAACAAAAGCAGAAAGGAGGAGGAAGACTCACCTACCATTTTCATTAAGAGTTTTTCAGGGACTCAAGCACAATGGAATAGAATTGCATTTAGGTGCATAAGTGGTTTTAGGCACCTAACTGGTGGAATAGAATCTGGAGTTAATGATTACCTCCTCTGGCACAGGGAGGGGATGGACAGAGCCTTGGCTCCCTATACTCACTGTCCAGCACAAGTAAATTAGTGTCAGAAGTACTGTAAGTTCCTGATGGTACAGTACAGTTCTGTGAATATACATGAAGCCAGTTTTTTACCTCCCTCCCTGCCATCTGACACCTTCAGGGAAGAAATTCTACCTGATCAACACATCAAAGAGCTACTCAACACAGCTCACAAAGACACTCTCATGGACCCAGAGGGACAGACTTCCATCTTCAGCTGTCTCTGTGCAAAAATGAAGTTTATTTCCTACCTATGGGGACTTTTTACCATCTTGTACCATCTACACTTTCTCCAAAGCCTGATGAAAGGACTTTGATCCCGAAAGCTTGCAGAAAAGGACAATTTTCTTGCCATTTTCCAGTTGGTCTAATAAAAGGTATCATTTTGGAACCAAGAGTTCTAGTTTTTTGTGTGTCTTTTTGTCTCAGACCAACACAGCTACCAAGTACACCCCTGAGTACATGAAGCCAGAGCACTTGATGGGTGCATTTATATTAAGTGAAAAAAACTCTTCTACTGAAGAGCTTTTTGTAGGATCCTAAAAAAAAATAGATGCTCATGTTACTAAAAATATCCATAATTATACTAGCTAGGACAGGAATGAATGAGAAGTATCAACTTTCATAGGATCATAGCATCATAGGAAAGTAGGGATAGAAGGGACCTCATGGGCTAGGGACAGAAGTTACATATAAACTGGTATAAGTGATCAGAAACTAGTTCAAATATGTAATATAACAGAAGTTATGTGCACATAAACCATTTTCAAAATGGCTGAAACCAGTTTACGATAAACCTGGATGTATTATCAGAATTAATTGATTTAGGTTAAATCGGTTTATTGAATTTCTGTTCCAGATCCCCTCCAGATTCAAGTTAACTAACAGTCCCCCAGCATCCCAGGATGCTTTGCACCTCCACCACACACACTCCCTAGCAGGGTGGGCAAGTTAGCCTTGGCCCAAGCTGTCTGCTTCAGCCAAGCAGGGAGACATGTTCTAGTGCCCCCTGGCTCCTGTCCTAGGCCACTGCAAGCATGTGACTGCATTGCCAGAATCAAAAGTGAATGTCTGTTCACTTGCTTATTGGTTCAATCTACTTATCTTAGACTAACTTGCAAAAATTGAATTGATTCAGCCTCAGACTTTTTGACTGTCTGTACTTAGCCCATCAGGTCAATCTAGTACAGCCCCTAGCTCACAAGAGGATCATCCTTGACTAAAGTATCCCAGGCAAGTGTCTGTTCAACCTGCTCTTGAAAATTTCCAGGGATGGAGATTCCACAGTTTCTCTAGGTAGCCTGTGATGAAGCTTGATCATCCTCATAGTCAGAAAGTTTCTTTTAATCTCAACCTAAATGTCCACTACTGCAGCTTGAGGCCATTGTGTCTAGTCCTGTCCCCTATGGCCACAGAGAAAAGGCACTTTCCATCCTCTATAATTGTCCTTCAGGTATTTGAAAAAAGTTATCAAAGGTCCTCCCTTTCCCCCCTTTTCTTAATGCTTCTGTTTATGCTTCAGGACAAACCACCTAGCTGTCTGGAATTAGAGAACTTTACCTGCAGACATGTTAGTATAAATTTGTTCCTTTTAAGGGTCCTCTGAACCATCCAGGGCTGCCCACTGACTTATGCAGAATATATGGCTATAACCACCAGAGGACTGTTCCCAAAAGACAATTCCTATTTTTCTATGCAGAACATTGTGAAAGTCATTTTCTAACTGTTATATAAATGTTAAAGTCAAGAACAATGAGCACTGATTAAAA